ATTTAAACCCCAAGCTTGAAACCAAGATCAAAAAGTTCTAAATGGATTAATAAGGAAATTACTAAACCATCAAACTGCTGATGTCGTAAACAAAATTCGTCAACAGCCACTAAGAATTCATTAAAAGTAAATTTATTTTTTGTTTAAAAAACACAACAACTGTGCAATATGTGCTGCTCAAGACATGTTTTGAATCGCTTTGTTGTTCATCTCTTCTCAGGCTTCAGTTTGGCAAGGCTAAATGAGAGACACGGTATAGACACACAGTTAGTACAGGTGAGGAAAGCAACGAGAATCTGCGTTTGTTCTTTCAGACGCCTAACATGTATAACCCAAACTACAACATTCCGTTTTTAAAACCTGTTCATGTTCATTGTGTTCTGAAAACGACCATATTCTAAAAAGGAAAAGAGAGCAGTATATCTGATTTCAACCAAACAAGGTTACAAACTAAATTATCTATTTCCTCTTCAAAACTGAATAAAACAATGCTTCGGGACCCAGGTAATCATTCTAAATGTAATTGGAGGATTCAATTTTAATGGTAATATTGCAACATTACTTTTGCTTTAGCGTTTTGCACTGATAGGTTTTCAGCCGTCACATATGGACAACAGCTAGAAATAAATCTGAGACATGTACAATAAGGCCTTGTCTAAGAACCTTCAGTTTTAGAGTACATACAATTCTATGACATTCAAATGGTAGCAGTTCCAATTTTGCAGCAAACCAACATCAAATTGCACTTACTCTAGGGCTCACAAAAAGACAGCACATGATTTTTAACTTCTTAATATCTGAGAATACAGTATTTTATTATCTTGCTGGTTATTTCAATTTGGAAATAAAAACTAAGGCAAAACCATGTGGCTTAGGGAGGCTGCTTTCTTTTAAAAATGAACAAATTTAAAACATTAAAAAACGTATCTCCCTTCTACTGAAGTACGTACTCAGCTTCCTCTTTCGTGACAATTTCATATAATTGTAGAATTCTCAGAAATATCCTCCAGTATTAAATTTGAATAGCCAAGTGTCTGAGAGCCAAACATATGAAAGACTCAAAATTTCTGCTCCCTACTTTGCTCTGCACTCTGCACACAGAATGATTACACTCACAAGTCATGTTTACCTGTTTTGTAAGCACACTCAGGTTTCTTAGATACAAAGCGGTTTTAATCAAGGTGACAGAAGCTCCTTGTGTGCAAAAGATGTAGTATGTGCGAGGAGAAATTAATACAAACACGAAAAACTTTGCATTTGTTATTTGATTCCTCATAGATTTGAATTTGTGATTTAGGACTTCCATTAAGGCAGCTTTTGTAGTTCATATACTCCATAATTTATAAACAGAAGAGTGATTCATATGACTCACAACATTCTTTCCTAGAGCTGTTTATCAATAATTAAATCATCTTTGTGACTACCATTCAATGTGTGAAACAGAAAACCATGCAGTCTGTATATGCCAATGATTAAAAACATCTACCCAAGGTACCATCATTTCTTCTGGTACAGTTTTTAAAACAAGGTCTATCTATTTGAGCCTCATCATATTTCACCAAATATCATGAACAACCTGCTGGGGTAGGAACAGTGTATGAGTGGGGGTTGCAGGGAGGCAGCAGGATGATGGGGGCGGGACAGGATGGTAGAGGGAGGAGAGCCTGTGTGCCTGTTTTTAAAGGAAAACGTCTTACTTCCTCAAGCGGACTAAAGAGAAAAAGCTCATATGCTGCTATATTTACCTACAAAGCTGGACTCCCACTACCTAATGCCCCTTAGCCGTTTTCTGAGCTACAAGATAGAAACAAAAGCATAACACACACAGACACACCCCTGCTTTGCACTGCAGGCCTGCACTGGTCCTCCATTCTTGAACCCTCTTGCAAACTGTACTAAGAAATATATATGCACATGCATGTTCTGATGAAGCTATTTAAAAGCAGCACTGCTAAAGAAACCACATCCTAGTATCCTTAAAAGAACAAAGAGAAAGGAAGAGACTAATTTTTAAACCTTACTATAGTCCCCTATTTCGTTAGGAGAGGGGGAAAAAAAAAAAAGAAGAAGAAGAAGGCAACATAAAACAATCAACCTGAGGGTATATTTGTCTCAAATAATCAGATCCAGTGGATACGGAAGGAAGGTACTTTAAAATAATGTTCTGGAAAATCTAGCAATGCTTTAAGATAAGAGACTTCTCAAAGACTAATGACGTATCATAATTGTGTGAAGAAAGGATCAAGAGACAACATTCAATAACAAGAAAACTTTTTTCATGTTTAACATATTATTCTGAACTCATATTCAAGGGGCAATATTTGGCCACCCATTGGGAAAGGGTTGACGCAGCGGCTTGCCATCTGATAGAACCCAGCCATGTCCAGGGGTCCTAGACAAGATGCTGCCACTCTGCTCGAAGGTATTTACATTCACCATGTGGGGCTGCGTTGCTCTCCTGGGAGAAAAGCTCTTGTTTTATGGAATTGCGCAGACTTCCATGGTATATACACTCCCACGATGGCAAACTTTAAACTACCAGCATGACATCGCTAAACACGGGGCTGGGAAAAGCTACATAGCAGTCATTATATAATATTAGCCCCATGTCCATGCCATTAACGTAAATAATTTCAAGAGCAGAGATCACAGTAAAGTATAGCAAAAATAATTAGGAAGGGATGCATTTTGAGTATTAATTACCTTTGCTTTTTTAGATAATGTATTTAATTTTTAATATTGGATGTGTCTGACAACCAGCTTGCAAAATTTCTAAAACTTGATCAGTTGGCTCTCGCCAGCCAAGGTGGGGTAATTCCAACAAACCACTGATTTCACATACCTCAAAGAGTATGAATGGCTGCTATTTTCTTACCATTCTTAAACGCTGGGAGAATACCAGCCCAAATTTTAGGGGGAAAAAAAAAATCTTCAGCCCCTGACCTGCATATAGAATTTTATTTTTAAGAATATGCAGGGTCATCTTCTTTATCATAAAGTTAGCTTTCATGAGAGGTTATGGGTACAGGCTGTTGACACTGATCTAGAGAAAGCATCAGGTAATGTTTGATAGCGCTTCTAGAAGAAAGAGAGTTGTGTGGTGGTATTCTTCAAGGTCACTTAGGAACAATACACATTTCTCCCATACTCTCTGCTCCTCTGGCCCCAGACGGAAAGCTCTACCATAGGCCTTTCTTCTGGAGTTGCAAGTTACAGAAAAAGATCACTTATAATTAATGTAATTCTAAGATACGAGAAGTGTATTTTTTATTCCATGACCAGAACAGAGCACTTTATCTATCAGATGAATGTTGGCTGATGAATGAAAACCAGCAAGCCATTAGCTTTCAGTAAGGTGTTAGGAGAGACCCTGGAAGTGAGAATGTGCTGCAAGTCTCAAGGGAAGTTTTCTCCCATCTCTAACCCTATAATTTTAAGAAGACAGTAGTACAAATTCCTTCCCTGTTAATTGATGGGCAGCAGCCTTATTTCTGTGAACTGTTGGAGGTGCCAGTTTATGAGTTGTCTGTCCGCACATACAGAATGAAAAGGCCCCTGGCTAACACAGAAACTGAAATAAAGTGGCATTTGGAGCAATTTCTTCCTGTATGATTCTTGGACACAGAGTATAAGGAAGAAACATGATCTGATTGAAAATGCATTTGGAGGGAGCACTATATAAACAAGAAAAACTCTAATGAAAAACTATGAAAATCCCAAAGTTCTGAAGCACTAAGAGACAGAAATCCAATCATATTGAAAGAAAATACTGCTCATAGGCCAGGCTTTCTGTTAATGTAAGTCTAGAGTTAATTTCCTTCTTCTATGCACTTAACTTAGTCAGACATCTACAGAACACATCTGTCGTGCTGGGTAGCCTTCAGGCTGGGCCATGGTACCTCAACTTTCCAGGTCTGACTTATCCATAACTCCATGAGTTACTGAGGTCAATTTCAGGATTGTAAATCAACAAATTCTATGAAAATGAAAGCTGTTGTTCACATTTTGCAATTAAAAAAAAAGTTTTCTTAAAAGGAAGGGGTCCATAATGCAGGATAACTACTTTTCGAAAAGTCAAATGACTGTGCTGTCTGTTTTCAATTTTAAACCGTCACCTTGATATGTTTAGGGGTTTAATTTATGGAACAATCAGGCAATCTTTATATTTAACATTAAATGCCTGAATATTATAAATCATCTTAGATGAACACTTATGGGAGAGTTTCAGTGCAACTTCTGAACAAGTTGTCACTTTTATTATATCGCAATGATTTGTAAAAAATGATATGCTAAGTAATCCTAGAGTATAATTTAGGTGCACAAAAACAACTGTCAAGAAACAGCCAGAGACCACATTTAATGAAATCTTTGCAGACTGAAGTAATAAGTATTAAATTAATCAACACAGCTTAATTGAAGCTCTATTTGCAACATTTTTTGTTAGACTGGTTATTAATGAACCTTTAAACGATACCACTAACTTGAGCTCTATGTTTAAATTTAAATAATGAACCATTGTTCACACACAAAAAAGAACAAACACTGCTTTAACAGCCCTTTGTCTCAGTGGGCTTTCACTCTTATGCATAACTAACATACAGACAAGTCCCTCCTACCTCTCAGCAATTATTTACATGGTTGGCAAGACATCATCATTCAGGCTGCTGAAATAGTCTGAAGTACCTAACACGAAATCCATAACAAAGTAAAATGCAGTAAGTGAAGGTTATATAAGAATTCCGGCTGACTTCAAAGATAATGTTTTCAAATCTGTGCTTTCAGTACTTTTAATTTTTTCTATTTTTTAAGAGAATGGAATGACCTAGCTATGACGCCCAGGCTGGATTTGGAATCCCGGGCTCACGCATTCCTCCCAGCTCAGCCTCCCAAGCAGCTGGGGTTACAGGTGTGCACTACTGTGTCCAGTTTTTACTACTTTTTGCTAAGCTCACACTCCTGTGTGTGTAAGGAGATTCTGGTTTGGGATGGTAAAGACTTACCTGAACATGTCTCCCAAGCCCTTCAGCATGCCCTTCTTGGCTTTCATTTTATCCTTCTCCTTATCTCTGTCTTTCTTCTTTTCTTTTCCAGTTTTATCTTTTTTTCTATCAGTCTTATCACCTTTCTCTTGGTTTCCATTCATTTGTCTCTCCAGAGAGTGGGAAGGCTGATCACTGGCTGTGGATACAGACTCTCTCCCTGATCTTGAACTTTCTTCTGTATCTTCTTCCACTTGGAAGGAAAGAAAAAAAAACAATAGGGACACAGTGAACCAATGCAACAAAAATAATAAAGCTAAAATACACTCAAGGACTTTACTTCCCCACACTTTTATTGCACTATGGGCCTGCCAGCAACATGGACTGCAATGATATTTGAGTAGAATTAAAATGGAATATGTGATGCGGATGCCTCCTTGGTGAGGATCATGTGCCAAGTCAGTGGTAGAGAAGCAGCTTCCTGGTGGGATGCTGATGCGCCCACAGAAACACCCTCTAGGAATCAGACTGTACACTACTGTGGGGCCCAGCAAGACCTTGTTATACAACACAGACCTCTAAGGGTCCAAGGAACTGTATTTACAAGATGAAAATAAAGAAGACAAGCAGACCTTCCCAAAGTGCTTCCTTTCTTCTTGGGTAAGAATAATGCACATGCACTCTGGCCCCTCATTAATTTGCTGGACTACACCATCCAAAGCCAGCAGGACTTCTTTCCTCAGGCTCCCAAACATACCCATTTAGAATTGCTGCACGCGGAAGAGCACATTATTTTGGCTCTGCACAGCCTCTGTAACTTTTCTTTGCGTAAAGCCAACATAAGAAGTAAATGCTACTATATGTTCCAATCCTAAACAATCTTGCATGCCTATCTGCACCATGGCAGCTGAAGAGAGGTAGAGGGGGCCATGAAAATAAGTCAATCAATAACCTCACTTCTCTGGACTTTGCAGATAAAAGATCTACTTAGTGATAACAATGTTCCATTCCTTGAATCAACACTTCGTAAGCGCATGGTCCAAGGGCACTTCAACACCCCAAAGTTTTTGCCGTTAAAAGAATGACAAGTAAGTGAAGTAGGTTTCCACCTACCAAAAGAGCTTTAAGCATTTCTCTATTGATTAAGAAGCAGAAAGGCAAATGTGAACAGCCATTCTCAGAAAACTTCTTTTGAGACTGGTCACCTAAAGTTCTCCTCCAAATACAATGAGAATTATAGGGGTTTAAGGTTAATTTATCATTGAATTCTGAAGTCATTTTTCTTTTCCAGCATCAATTAAAAAAAGTATGAATCAATATTTTTGAGTTTCTTGTAACAAAGAGTCAAACAGAATGGTTTAGCCTCTTCCCAAACTTTTGCAAAGAACTGACCTATAAATCAAGTTAATATAACCTCAGTAAAATTCAGTCCTGCCTTTCCACCAGTAAGGAGCATGTTCTTTTTTTTTTTTTTTGCGATGGAGTTTTGCTCTTTTTTGCCCAGGCTGGAGTGCAATGGCACGATCTTGGCTCACTGCAACCTCTCCCACCTGAGTTCAAGCAATTCTCCTGCCTCAGCCTCCTGAGTAGCTGGGATTACAAGTGTCCACCACCATACCTGGCTAATTTTTTTGTACTTTTAGTAGTGATGGGGTGTCATCATGTTGGCCAGGCTGGTCTCAAACTCCTGACCTCTGGTGATCCACCCACCTAAGCCTCCCAAAGTGCTGGGATTACAGGCGTGAGCCACCACACTCAGTGCAAGGAACACTTTCATTAGCAATACACAATTATCATGGGTATAATAAGACCAGCTGAAATGGTCCTGATAGCTTACATTTCTGCCATTAAACCTTCACAAGACTATCAAGTGATAGGACAGCTATGCCCAAGTCATACAGTTGCTGTTTTTTGTTGTTGTTGTTAAAAAGCCAGCTATTTGTCATAATGGAAAAAACAAAGCTCAGAATTCTTTTTCTTAAGACATTTGATTAAAAGCTTAAGTCAACACATTTCCTACCCCAGCAGGTCATGTCCCAGGTAGAGACATAGAGTAAAAACATCTCTGTGCCTAAATCTGGAAGCTACTTTGGAGATTTTCTACACCAACTTCAGTTTCCTGCAGTACATGACCTTCATGCATTCTTTGATCAACTGTTTGTGACTGTCTGATTCCACACTTCACACAGCATATATTTGGGTAATCTATCATGCAGTCACTACACAGCCTGCCCAGAAGATAATTCCAGCAGTCAGCATTGCATTTCAGAAACCAATTGTGAGTCCTCTGTGGTCACTGTGACTTGTGGCTCATAGTGATGAAATCGCTCAAGAAGCTAGATCAAATGTATACAGGGAGTATGGGACTGGCTAGCAAGCATAAATGACGTCAGAAAGGTTAGCCTCCCTCTTTATTGCAAGTTATCTCATTGTAAGTCATTCTCTTCCTTCAAAGGACATGGTAGCTTTTAAGAAAATTTGCTCCCCTTCCTCTCTAAATAGAATTGTGCAGGTTTATTAGAAAAAGCCAGTTACAATTAGTGACATAGTGAAAATCCATTATCTTACAAATAATACTGAGTTCAGGCTACAATTTCTTGTGGTGTATACAGTGTAGGGAAAGAATATCCTGGCAACTGGCCCAAGGGCTTGTTAATTATGTGCAGCCTTTTCAAATGAGCGCTCCCCCAAAGAATGTAAATACAGCTCAAGCAGGGTTGTGGTGTGTTGCTCAATGCCCCGGAACATGGCTGTGCTCTACCTGCTTGTGAACCACTACTTCCACCCTTCAACACTTCGAGATATGGGTGTGGCCACAAGTTTCAGACAATTGTTCAAATCATTACAGAACAATTCCCAAAAGTTCTCTGGAGCTATAAAAACCTAGGTCTCTTGGTATACTCAAGACAAATAAATGGATGCTAGTGAATTTTCTATAATTCCTGCATGGACTCCTCCTTTCACCTGTACTTCCATAGCCCTTTCTTTGTATAATTTATTATTACTGCACTTCTCATGTGACATCACAAACATGTCTCCCTCCCATTCTCTAAGCTCCTAAAATGAAGACGGTGGGGCAAACAGCAGCTGCTCATAAATGGCTGTGTAAATGAAAGAGTACTGGTAAAAACTGACTTGTGACATTATCCCGACCCAACTTTATCTAATTCCAGGTATCACCATTCTCCTAGCTTTAGAAAAATGTCTCTCATCAAGCCTGACAAGACCCGCCACAATCCAGCTACAGTAACACTAGGTAAGAATGCTCGTGGTATTCGCTTTAGCTCTAATTGGTGTCTGGTATATTTTCATGCTATTATTGTTAGTGCTATATGCATCATCTAATAGATTTTACAGCCCTCTACAATGTCTGAAACTATAAACAGAAAAATGAGCTCAATAAATGTAAATGATTTAGTCTTCCACAGCAACCATTATCATAAATCATGAATGGAACTATCAGTGGCAATTCTGTTAGTCTTCTGCCTAATCGTTTTGGCAGAAGTTCAAGGGGCATATGTCGGCTCTTGGCTTGGGAACAGAATAATGGCAGTGCCTTCACAACTCACTATATGCTGAAGTCATGTTTGTTGCCAATTCTTTTCATATTCAAAATAATTTTCTGGTGTCTGTAACACAACTTATTTTCTAAAGTATGTGAAGTAAAGTTAGTATGAATTCATTTATTAGCTTTAGGTTTTGTATCCTCATTTTATGAAATTAAAACTCCTACCTCTATTTCATGCCCCAAGCCAGTGGACTGTTTAAAATGACACTTGCGCATTGGAGGATTCTTTATGCTTGTTCTGAACATTCTATTTAGATAATACATTATCACAGAAACTCTTCTGGGGGTGTACTGATTTAACTAATCCCTTTGAATGCCAACTAATTAAAAATATTTAGCAATATGTAGCTTCATATGTACAAACATAAGATGTTCTTTTAAAGTACTGAATTATATATACTTCAAACTCTGAAATTATTTGATAGAGAAAAATAATCTTTATCCTGCTCCTATGCAGAAACATTGTAGTTTTAAAAGCTCCAGTAAATTGGTTACACATGGTTAATTTTTGAAAAAATATACATATCAAGATCAATGATGTACTAGTCAGATTTTAAATGTTAAAACAAATCTGTACATTTAATACAAGCTTTATAATTAGGTACATAAAATATCTTTATTCCCTTAAACTAAGAAAACATAACACATTCATAGAAACAATTTTTCAAGTAAGCAAAGTGCTAATAATATATCAGCAATAAATGGCTTGATCTATTGTGTTCATACAGCAAATTACAAGGCAAGAACTAATCACAGATCTACATTTAGATAATGTACTATTTTAAGTGCTATATACATATCTTGATTTTTTTCTCTTTAATTTTGCTCATTTTGACCAATTATTTGCTTTCCTTTTGCAGATAGCCTGCACAAAGAAAGATGATTATCTCCTTCTAAACAAACAGAAATTTCTATTTTTGACAACATTTCTGCCTACTTAAGCTGCTCTATGCACTGAACATAGCTATGTTTCTATGCGATTACCTATAAAGACAGGTACTTTCAAGTTTCTTTTTTTAAGAAGGTGTAGAATGAAGCTGCTTATTTCTCTTTAATGTGGCACAGTCATTCTGCAATTAAGACGTACCTAATTACCATGTTTTCAACAGATGCAAATGTAGCTCAATTAAAATTCTAGTCCATGTTACAAATTAAGCCACCCAACTATGAAAGGTATCATGTTAGGACTGGATCACCAAGAAGTTTGGAAAAGATCAGGCATTTAAAAAATACATGGATCAGGCGTTTATGATGGAGAAAATGACTTTGGGTTTTCATTGAAGTGCAAAGTTCTGCAGCTTCTGCCATAAATAATCTATTTCTATTTAAACTTTACAAACATTTTATGGTCAAAGTTGACTCAGAGCCTCAAGGTCATTAGAGTCTATTTTTTTTCCCCCATTGAGAAGTGATGCTACTGTTGATACTGTAATGATTTCTGTTGGCTGATTATCCAAAATCCATTTCTCCCTTTATTCTTTCTAATAGAACTCTGTATTCAGGAATGCAACCTAGCTCCAAGGGGTGAATTCATTACTAAGTTTACGGATACAATACCCCTGCAGATTTGTCAGTCCAAGGTTATCAGACCAAGAATGGCCCCAATGGACTCAATGGACATATTCCATGCTTAGGAAGGGCTCTTTCCCTGCTGTTGGACAGGAATGACAGTAAAAGGCCTCTGA